AAATCCAGTGACTTTACACATTCAACCGCATTCAAATGTGCGAAGTCACTGGCGCTCTGATGCGTTATGCGCTTTAAAATCCAACTTGAAAGTACATGACTAGCAAGATATTGAGCGTATAAAATTCAAGGGATGCTCACACACCAGAGACACAGAGAATTGTTTTTGAACAACTAGTTTTTAAAAATGGGGCGTTGAAGTTTTGCCAACTTGGACATTTGAACGCTTATAACTTCTTCTAGAGAACGGCATCGCGGGTATGGAATGTAGATTTGAAATCAGCTCATCAAGATGCATCTGACGATATACGACTCATTTGAATTCGCCACCTTAAGTTGGGATCGTTCCCTGCTAAGAACAGAAACCTACATAGCGAACGCCTTTGGCAGTCTGTATGGTAAGCACGGACTTTTCGTCCACATCTGTGACCGTCGATGCAAAAATTCCTTCATATAGGGGATTCTCATCCTTTCCAATCATCAAACGATACACAGAAGTGTACTCGGAGTACTGGGTAGGAGACAGACGGGAGAAAATCGTGTCTGTAAGAGATTCGAATACATGCGAGGCTCAAAAAAAAGAATGCTTGAAAGAAAAAGATGCAAAAACATACTTCGAAGCTGTCGCTCGGTCCTTCGCATCACATGAAGCACAGGAACATCGCGTTCTAAACATGCGCGCACAGCGTCGGCAGAAGAGATTCCATCTCCGATAACGACTACTCGCGCACTGCTTCCACTGCAAAATTGACTATGAGAAGAAGAATCAGCAGCGAGAAAAAGGAAATGAAATAGAAACCTTGTGCCTAGTGTAGGGTCGTTGATCATGTGGGATTTGAGCGCCAAAGCATCATATACCACTGGCAAAGTGGGATTTCGCATAGTTAGCTGAAAAATACCATTTTTACATTCCCAATTTCAGAAAGGGAAGATAGTGAAGAACCTCAAGTTGTTTTTGTTTCATCTTGCCGCAAGCCAGCACGACGTGTCTGGCGGTGTAGCTGAAGCAGGAGCCATCTGATCGCACTCCAGAAACTGTCCAAACCTCTCCAGTTTTCTGCAAAAAGAAAATTTTGATACACACTGTTCGAAGGCATTTTCAAGATACATGAGTGCTTCGTCGCGATATGATTCAAACATATTTGGGGCACTAGAGACGACGATAAGATGAGCATTTTGTAGCCACAGCAAGCGAGTTTTTTCTTGTTGTCACCAAAAGCGCAAAGTACATATTCGCCGCGTTTCTGATAGCTTATCTAAGCAACTGTCCATGCAATCCGTGAAACGTTCGCGCAACGATCGCGCAAAGAGACGTTTTATGACTGTGAAAACCAGTATAGATTCGGACAAACGATGGAGAGATCATGGAAAATGAAGTTTAACTTACTCGAACAGAATTTACTCTAGTATGAGGGATGATGCTTTTCGAAAG